ACCTTGATAGAATCTACTTTTTTAACAAGTTATTATTATTAGCCATGCATTCCACTGGGTCATAGGCTTGTGCAATGCCTTGAGTGCTCTGTACTTGGAAGACAAAATTATGATCAACCTAGCTCAACTCGTAGTTTGATGACTGTTTGAACTTGATTAGTTTGAAATAAAGAGCAGATGGCTGATTTTATATTTAAACATTTATTATTACTTTCTTATCGTTCAACTATTGTATCATAAACGATCATATATGATCATTTTAGCAAACTTGTTGGAATTCCTGGAATAACTTTTGCTGCATAGTCGGTGATGCATGACTTCAAATAATGAAACCGCTGGACAACTGATAAACGAATATTGTTATTTGTTATGCTTATGATGCATTGCGTTAAATGCATCTAAAAATGATGGCCAATTTCGCAAAGTTTCGTCAAAAAATGGAGCAGGAATAGTTTGAAATTTTGAATGACTCTCGAATCATTGCCGTGATATTCGGCTCCTTGTTTTCTTTTACTCGATGACAATGCTTTTTCGGTAAGTCGATGATTGATATTTACATTTGACAATATTCTTTTTCGATAGTAGCTCTTTCAACTAACATGTTCTCTGTTAAATCGTTATGTAGTTAAAGTTGAAGCTGATGCTCCTCAAACCAACCCACGTGTTCGTTTAACTTTGTTAATCGGATCTTTAACTGATTGCAAGAATGAATAAGCGTGGTAAATCACTCAATATATTACTTGACTACCTCTATGGATGTTTTCTCTTAGTTTCACTTGCAAATCAACTTTTTCAACTCAAATAGAATTGACTATTCACCTACTTCACTGGGCTGCATGTTGGTACATGATTATGACAGTAATATTTTTTTGTAGCATACAGTATATTTAAATGATAATAATTTTATTAGTGAATAATCACGGTAAATGTTACAATTGAACAACAAATAATCATAAATGATAAATATATGTGGCAATTACAAAAGATAATAATCTGAATTGCAATAACAATAATGAATATGGTAAACTTATCCAAGCTAATAACTAAATGACAATAGTCGAGAACAATAATAATAAATATTTTATTGACGCCACTATTAACTCTAAAATTGATATTGAAACTATTTCCCAACAAATACCTAATACGACCCACCATAGCCAAGAACCTGCAGTCGATAACGTCAAAAGACCAGCCCCATCCGATTCGACAAACAGCAGCCCCGACCACAAACAGAGTAATACTGTTATAATTTCACCGGCTCTGATGTCAATACAAAGTCAACAAACTAATAATGGCACACTCACAACCAAACTACTAAATTCAAATAAATCTAATAAAACTACACAACCAACACTAAAAAAACCAAAACGCTCAAATTCTATAGAACAAATTGTAATTAAGCTAGATGAAACACTTGCACCTGCTAAATCCGCCTTCAATCAAATACCAAACCTTAAAATAAACTTCTCCCAGCTCAAGTAC